TTGACCCCTGCTAACCCCCCTTCAGCATACTCAAAAACTCACCGTTTAGATAACTTTAGATGGGACATGCCTTATGAACAGACTGACCGAGTTTGAAGTCGATCAATCAAAATCCCTAGGAGGAGATAGATCAAATATGAAGGCTGTAAACGGCAAAAATGGGCTCAAAATCCGAACTTCTATCCAAAATGGCCGACTTCCTGTGATACTTGCACTATGACATTAATTGTAAATTTTGAGCGTCCTGGGGAGCTCTACAAGTGTACCAAATTTCATGTCTCTAGGATAAAGTAAGTGAATAGCAAAGGGTCCTTTGAAAATTTCAAGGTGGCGCTTGAGCCGTTTCTTGTGCAATTTTTGCAATGACCTTAAAATACAAAATTTTGAAACTCCCTTTATGCGTCCGCCAAGTTTGATGAGTTTTTGAATATGATAAAGCCCTCAAAAAGCCAATTCATTTGGGTGGAAGAATAATAAGAATTAAAGCTGCAAGCAGCCTCGAACGGCCCTCGCAGCCAAGCGCCGCTCCGGCCTATTGTCCACCGCGGGGTACAAGCAACCGCCGCCTCACGCCAGCCACCACAGAAGCTCTCACGCAGTTTTCAGCACCTCCGGCCGCATTGCAGAAGCTGTTGCTGAGTTTCCATCAACGCTTCCCACGTTCCAACACAGAAGTTGTTCCGCAGTTTCCGCGCCCGTCCACCAGGCGGTACGCATCGATGCGTTCGGCGGCGCTCCTTGACGATGCAAAAAAATGTGGTGCAGATTCATTGGTTTAGTGAAGAAATATAGCTGGCGGATTAATGTAGGTCGCATAGTGGAGTCAAAATATATTTCAATGCTGTTTTTCTCTTTCGAGGTCAACAAAGGTCATACGTATCCAATTTGGCGTCAGTCGGAAGATCCACGTGTCATTTACAGCCGAACATATGCACAGGCGAAGTACTGCAGTTCGTCATTTTTCATCATTTTCAGCTGTGTTTCTAAAGCACTCTATTTCATTGTTGGAGTAATACTTACTCAGAGTGGCGAATTACTGAAATGGTTTGTAAGAAGTAAGAAAACGCTACATTTACTGCATGATTTAATTCAACAAAAATTATCTGAGACATTTCTATCCTTTTAGAAATTTCATGGCAACGCTCTCACAAAGTTTTCGCGCCCATCCGCCCGTGGATCTGTTTGTCATTGGTGGAGGAACACTGACACCTACTGGCGAAATACTGATATTGTTCTTCATCCTGTTTATCTGCTGTTTCATTTGTGGAGCAATACTGACCCCAAGTGGCGAATTACTGAAATGGTTTATAAACGCCAAAAATGGGATCAAAATCTGAACTTCAATCTAAAATGGCCGACTTCCTCTGGGGTTTAGACCATGGCTCCAAGAGACTTTTTTGTAAGTCCTGACATGGTACACATGTGTACAAAGTTTCGTAATTGTAGGTTAAAGCATGGCTTGGGGCTGATCATTTAAAATTTTCTAGGGGGCGCTATAGAGAAATTAGGCCACACCCTACAAATATTGTGATGGATTCCTGTCGGGGAGTGGATGAAGATCCATCCTTGTGAGTTTGGAGCAGCTGCGCCCAAAAATGTGGAATTGAGAGCCAAACGTATGGCGATGGCGTTACAGGTCACTTCGCCACGCCGCCACGCCCACCTGCTCCATCAAAGCTGGTCGGGGTTGGAATCCTCAACACACCAACATGTCTTCTGTGTCTGGGCACAGTTTCATGTTGATGTGGTCAAAGGGGTCAGATAGCGACCGTTCAAAGTAAAACATGACACTTCCTTTTCTCAGGGGGCGTGGCCTAAGTGATGTCATCATTCGACCATAGGGTATTGTAGGACCCGATGATGATCAATCACAGAAACTTTGGTGCCTCTGTGAGTTTCTGTGTAGGAGATATAGCAGTTTATTTTTTTAAGGCGAGTAGGTGAACTTTGACCCCTGCTAACCCCCCTTCAGCATTCTCAAAAACTCACCGTTTAGATAACTTTAGATGGGACATGCCTTATGAACAGACTGACCGAGATTGAAGCCGATCAATCGAAATCCCTAGGAGGAGTTCGATCAAATAGGAAGGCTGTAAACGGCAAAAATGGGGTCAAAATCTGAACTTCAATCCAAAATGGCCGACTTCCTGTGGGGTTTAGACCATGGCTCCAAGAGACTTTCTTTTAAGTCCTGACATGATACAAATGTGTACAAAGTTTCGTAATTGTAGGTTAAAGCATGGCTTGGGGCTGATCATTTAAAATTTTCTAGGGGGCGCTATAAAGAAATTAGGCCACGCCCACCAATATTGTGATGGATTCCTGTCGGGGAGTGGATGAAGATCCATCCTTGTGAGTTTGGAGCAGCTGGGCCTGAAAATGTGGAATTGAGAGCCAAACGTATGGCGATGGCGTTACAGGTCACTTCGCCACGCCGCCACGCCCACCTGCTCCATCAAAGCTGGTCGTGGTTGGAATCCTCAATACACCAACATGTCTTCTGTGTCTTGGCACAGTTTCATGTTGATGAGGTCAAAGGGGTCAGATAGCGACCGTTCACAGTAAAACATTACACTTCCTGTTCTCAGGGGGCGTGGCCTAAGTGATGTCATCATTCGACCATTAGGTATTGTAGGACACCCGATGATGATAAATCACAGAAACTTTGGTGCCTCTGTGAATTTCTGTGTAGGAGATATAGCAGTTTATGTTTTTATGGCGAGTAGGTGAACTTTGACCCCTGCTAACCCCCCTTCAGCATACTCAAAAACTCACCGTTTTGATAACTTTAGATGGGACATGCCTTATGAACAGACTGACCGAGTTTGAAGCCGGTCAATCGAAATCCCTAGGAGGAGTTCGAACAAATACGAAGGCTGTAAACGGCAAAAATGGCCTCAAAATTGGACCTTCAATCCAAAATGGCCGACTTCCTGTGATACTTGCACTATGACATTAATTGTAAATTTTGAGCATCTTGGGGAGCTCTACAAGTGTACCAAATTTCATGTCTCTAGGATAAAGTAAGTGAATAGCAAAGGGTCCTTTGAAAATTTGTAGGTGGCGCTATTGAGCCATTTCTTATGGGATTTTTGCGATGACCTTAAAATACAAAATTTTGAAACTCCCTTTACGCGTCCGCCAAGTTTGGTGAGTTTTTGAATATGATAAAGCCCCCAAAAAGGCCCCTCTTTAGGGGGGCAGAATAATAATAAGAAACAGTAGGAAAACAATAGGCCTTCGCAGCGCTTAGCTGCTCGGGCCTAATAAGAAACAGTAGGAAAACAATAGGCCTTCGCAGCGCTTAGCTGCTCGGGCCTAATAATAATAATAAACAATAGGAAAACAATAGGCCTTCGCAGCGCTTAGCTGCTCGGGCCTAAAAATGCAGGATGACTGGATTTATTGCAGCAAACGCCATGTGACAGTAACTGGACTTATATTTATGCCAGAACTTTGCTTCTTCAACCAGAAAATCAGCTAAACAAATCATCTGTAATTCACTCGGTGTCAAAATGTGTGCATCCCACACTGAAGTGAATGGATCAAAGTACAGACAATTCAATAAATTAAATATTATTTCAAAGTCCATTTATTTCAGAAAAGCTACATAGATTAATAGATTAATTACACATTTGAAAGGGTTTGTTTCCCTTTTAATACACCATTAAAAACAGAAAGGAAGGATTAAGATGTTGCTGAAGTTAGCATGCCTTAGCATCAGCAAAACAATAAGAGTTTGTGAATAGGGATTTAAATACTTGATGAAAATATTAGTGTTCATCTGAACGTTTCCCAGGTCCCGTTGTTCAGTCTGTTAGAGCTCTGTGACCGATCGTCTCAACACTTCTCGTCTAAATGCAACAGGCGGCTGATACCTGCATAAAAATTGCATGGCTTTGAGCTCATGTGTTTAGTTTGAAGGAGAGAGCAGCCTGGGCTGAAGGATGAAGAGCATTTCACAGTCTTTCCTCACTGTATCAGGTATTATGTGAAGAAGCTGTTTACAGTTCACTGCTAGAGTTTTCATCCTTCTTGAGAGTTTCAACATTTCATCACGTTGCAGTGACAAATATCTGGATTTATTTGGGATATTGTGAAAAATGTATTTTATTTTTTGCTAGTTTAAGGAAGTGGAAGGAAATTTTTAAAAAGCTCGAGACCTCTAAAGTTTAGTTGGTATTTGCATTGACGCCTCACCAAGACAATATTTAACTACAATTTCATATGAACATATGTGCTGAACAAGATCATTCCCTCAATAAGATTCACTATAGGAAAGATGTGTAGTAATGGTTTCATATGGTAAATAACAGAAGCCATCCAAGTACCCACTTTCAGAAGCTTGCAGTATTTCCTGCGTCTGAAACTTTAAATAAGACTTTTTATGACAGTCTTTGAACGGCGGTGTTCCTCTTGCTACTCTTCCATAAAAGTCAGATCATTATTTTCCTTCCATTTGATCTCCATCGCTACTTTGTGTTTGCTTATGAAATATTGATAATCTACATTGGACTGTGCATGAGATGGTCAAGGGATCTAAACGCTTTTGAGAGTCTCTTTGGTAGAAAGAAAAATCACAGAAATAACCCAAAGAGAGGAAATTTAGGGATAGCAGCAATACTAGATATTAATAACATCTACAGTTGTTGATCTTGTTTTTATATATATACATTAACAAGATTAACAAAATCAATAGTTACAATAAAATACTGTACTGTGGTCAGAATAGAAATATCATAAAACATTTTCTTGTGCACTGTTTGTGGTTTAATCCAAAGATGTGCAACTGAATTGGATGACTCATTAAAAATATATAATGTCAATGTGTATTAAACTCTAAAACACACAACAGACTGTTGGGAATACATAAACTGAATAAGAATGGAAACATTTGTGTTTGAATATGTTTTTGTGAGCCTGTATTTTTGCTTCATTGTGGAATGTCTGATTAATTGACAGCCGACTTTTGCCCACACTCGTGTCTCTATCATTTTCAGATGTCAGTCAGCTGCGTCATCAGTGGAAAGCGTGGCAGCTTCCCCCAGCGAAAAGGACACAACTAACATTCAGCGGGAAAAAAGAGTGGCTCCTCAGCCTCCGGGAAGGAATCAGTTGGAGAGAGAGAAACGGAAGGAGGAGGAGACGTCGACACAACATCTGCCACAAATTAACAAGCAGAGTAAAGATAAAGATGTCAAAACTGTCAGCGTGGCTCCCCAGCGCTCGGTGCAGAAGATCGCTCCTCTAAGCAGGTCTTCCAAAGATTTGAGAAACACCCAGAGCACGACGGAACATAATTCTGCCAAAGAAGCGGCGGGTAAACACAATAAACGTCCTGCTCCTTCCATACCGTGCACTGATGAAGACGAGCTTGACAGAGGTGTGGTGGAGATTAAAGATGGCGCCGTTTATGGTTTTAACCCGTTTGAAGATGAGGATGAGGAGGAAAATGATGATGCAACAACCTTTGTTAAAACTAATCCAGTAGTTTGGCCTCCTGTCAAATCACAAGCTGCTGACAAAGATTCTGCTAAAGTCAAATCCTCAAAAATAGCTCGAGCTCCCCTACCTCCTGATCCAAATGACACTCCTTCAAGCTCCATTGTCAGTCGAAACCATGACGAAACTGATGTTTTAGATGACAGTGGAGCAACTGCTCCAAACAAGACATGCAACACACAACAAGAGGTCAAAAGTCACATACAGGTCCAAGAGAATCCAAACATAGAGTCCAAGAAGATTATCATGGCTGGTGCAAGAGAGGAGGGACCACCTGCAATTTCACGCAGGTAAGACGCTTTAGTCCTCAGCATTAATTTGTCTAATTTGTTATGTTTGCATTACCTTCCAAAGTATCGTTGTTCACACTATGTCAAATCAGAACCATCCTTGGGATTTTATGTGGTAGACAAGCGCAAAGAATTAGAGCATTTTGAAGTAGAACCTCTGAGAAAGTAAATAGCATAATAAAACAAGAATTACAGCAGACAGGATAGGGTCAGGAATAAAGTTGTGGAGAGGTTTAAAGCATAATCGGGATATAAAACAATATTCTAAGCATTGCACATCTCAGAGAGCATTGATCAATTGATCATTAAAAACTGGAGTGTATGAAAATCTGTTGGAGGTAACACAAAGACCTGAGAGAGAGCTTTACCTTGCAGCAGAACCATGATTTATCCGTATGTTAGAACAGTACGATGTTCAGATCTTTAGTTAAGAATATGCTTGAAAGATTTAGAAATTATTTAGATGCCATGCAATCTGAGGGAGTTTAAGCATTCCTAAAAATAACATGCAAAAAAAAAAGGGCTTCAATAATTGATAGCTTTCATTGAGTTGATATGTAATTTTTAAATAAATTATACATTCAAATTTACTACATTTTGCTTCATCTTGCCATTGTCTTTACATGTTTCAGTCTCAACCCTTTTGTCATTGCAGACTTCAGCCTGTAAAACCCCTTAATCCTCTGGAGCAGCAATCTGACTCGGTTGGTAAAGTTGGAAATGATAACAAAGCCACAGAATTGGACTGTAATGGAGTTCAGCACAAAACAAACGTATGTATTCTTTTTTTCCTCTCTTTTCAATTTTAGCTAAATGTTTCAAACCAATCTAGAGATTGCTGTGACGTTTTCATGATCAAAGATTATTGTTGTCTCTTTTCTTCATGTCCCTGCTACAGGTTGGCACAGGGAGAACAGGGCCGTACTCCCAGCTGACTCGAGAGGAACTGATCGCTCTGTTGTTGAAACAGGAGAGCCAGCTCTCTGAGAGAGATAAAAAGATATCAGAGCTGGAGCAGTACATTGACAATTTACTGGTGCGAGTCATTGAAGAGAATCCATGTATCCTCATGTCCATGAGCTCTTTAAAGAAGTCTGCCTAAGTGGATTTATAGATGACAATCTGAGTCGGATCAGATCCATGTGATCTGACTTTATTCATTTCATGACTACATGAAAAACCTGCCTTCCAAAGATGTTCATCACTGAATGCTGGCTCTTTTGTAGCAGGGTAAACCTTAAGATTAACATATCGACAAGAGAAATTAAAAAGTGTTCATATATGTTCATTGTTTTCATGTAGAGCATAAAGTTCAAACTTAAGACTTGCTATGCTGTCTGGTTAAATAAATACAAAAAAAAAGAAAAATCCCCCCTTGCCTGGTCAAAAAGAGCCTTATATGTAATGCTATGTGCTGTAATTTGATTATTTTTTTTCTATTTTTTTCTTTACATTTTGAAAACCAAGAGCACTTTATCTTTTAATGTTAAACACTGAAAAATATACACTGTTTGGAACTGGCTGAGGTGTTTTTGTATATTTGCAAAATAAAATTAAAAATGTATAACTATTTCTTGTTTCATTTATTCAGTAGTATGTCAGTGTTATGAAATGACATGATTGATTAAATCAACAGAATAAACCAATATGTCATTTACATAATATATATAAAAAACATGTTCAATTATCTTCTGGCTGCATGTCACAAATTATATATATATATATATATATATATATATATATATATATATATATATATGTATATGTGTGTGTGAGAGAGTGTATAGTGTATTCACTGCAAAAACATTAGTTGGGGAACTTCAGTGTGTAAAAACGGGTTTAAAGGCTACAAAAAGCTTGAATTGTTTTTTTTTTTTTTTTTTTTTTTGAAAAAATATTGGCATCTAACAGTTTCATAATTTATCTAAAGAAGAAAAATATATGTGCTCTTAGAAGTATTTTTATTACATTAATCTGCGGAATATCAATGGGAAATAGAAATTAACGTGCATAAAATTGAACATAAACAAATGTCTATTTTCTGAATCGTATTTTAATGTGATAATGCTAATACAATGAATTTGGAGCGCAACTCGTTTCTATTTAGCGAATTCAGAATTTAATTTTTTTAAATAAATTTTATATTCTACAGCTGAGGTCTCTTCTTATTCTTGCTACCACATTTCATTGTTTATTAGAGCAGAGGGAAAACTAAGGTTGTATAATATGCTTACTGAGGAATAATCGGATTGTCCTTGAACGCTTGTTCAAAGTGTAATTTCCCAAACGGAACTGTAGCTGGTTCGATCATTTCTACCCGGAAACATCTAAGCTTCCCACCGGTTACGTTTGTTGACCGTACACCGCCGGCGCGCTTCCTGTTGTTGTCACGAATGTAATCCGGGTCAAACAGGTGGATGTTTGTGGTTGGAAAATGTTCGCAGCGGGTCTGAAGTGTCCGGGCTGCGGCTCCTCCAACATAGTGGACGATGATCTCTACTGCCAAGCCCAGCTGGTGTGCGTGGACTGCGGCTCCGTGGTGTCAGAGGGGAGCCTGGCCGACGACCCGGTGGGGGGTTCGGGTAGGAACAGGACACCAGCACCCCGTCGTTCATAGAACATGGCCATTAGCAACCCGAGTTTTATTTATACATGGATTTGTTCAGATTACAGGACGCAGATTATCACTAAAAGAGATTGTCTATTGGTCAGATAACTATATTATTCATAATTCTAGATAAAATCATTTATGGTTTTTTTTAACACAGCCAGCCACAATATTGGTGAGCAAAGTGCCTATTAAATTCAATGTATCAAAAAAAGAGTGTCACCATGTTTAAAAAAGCTTAAAGTTTAGCTTAATTAAAATCTTTAGTCATTTTTCTTAATTTATTCCGTTTTTAAAAGTCAAAAGCATTTTTTAATTTATTTTCTCCATCTCATAAAATTTACATTTAATTGGTTTTTGTGTGGTAATATTTATGTGTGCCGTCATAAAAATAATTTCCTGCTTGTCACTTCCTAGTATGAAGCCAGATTTGAATTGGATTTGTTTCTAACATGTGTGCCAGATAAAAGATTTAATCTACTTAAATTAGAGACACAGATCTGTAAAATACCTCCTCTACTGCTTCATCTCCATGACTTGAATGCTTCATCTATGAGACATGAAAACAGAAACTCACTATGAAGGGTTTAATAAATATTACCACAATCTACTGCTGGAGCTCCTGACTTGATTTTCGTCAGATGTATGTGGACGGTGTCAGGAGGGGAATACTCTTAAGGCTTCATGTCTGAGTCAATTTATTCAGCTTTCATGCTGCTAAAATGTGACCCAGATGAGGGAAATCGATTCCACATATCAGCATGGAACAAAGTAGGAAGTTTGTTCCAGCTTTAAAAGTTGATGTTGACTAAAAGAGGAATGATCGAACATGTAAGCGGGTGAATTTTTAATGCTTGAGTTATTTTCAAAGGATTGCCAGGTGAAATTCCAATCATTTGGTTTAATTTATTTTTTTTTCTGCAGTGGTTAGCTACAACAGGACCACAGCGGTGACAAAAAAGCCCTGCATCAATCTGATAAAAGGTGAGCTCTTCTGTCCCAAAGCAGTTTGTGCTCGTTATATGTATACACTTTTTACTGCGTGAAAGCCGCCAGCCACTACAAGATGATTTTCCCCAAGGAGCCAGACCTTCTTTTAATCTTTTAAAGTGGCCTGTGCAGCACTTTTTTAGACTTTCTGAAGGCTTTTCAAACCTTTTTTAGCACAAAGAACTGGAGAATGATTCACCTCTGATGTGTTTTCATTTTTTTGCAAGATGTTTCTTTTTTTCATTTTCTTTTCAACATGAAGTGTTGTTGGAATAGTTTTTAGGCCTGAGGCTTGTTAAGTCTTCTTTTAATCCAGTTTTCTCTGTAAGACCTAAAGAATGACAAAAGCCTCGATGAAAAAAGCAGGTTCTTCTAAAAGTTGCTTTAAAATGTACTTACTAGTTCAGATTTTAAAAAATTATGTCTGTCTGTTAGCTGCAAAAAAACAACTTGTGCTTTTGAGACAAGGTGGCTTTTAATAAAGTTACCAAAGATACAATTTAAAACAGTTTCTCTCTTTTTTCTTTTTTTTGCAAACAAGAAAAAGAAACTACTTGACTAGTTTATATCTTGCATTTATTAATACTTGTGCTTATCAGGAACAGATGTTATTGTCATCCTTCCTAGACCTTTTTTTTCATTCATACAAAACTATTTTTTTCCCCTTTACATTAAGGTCAGGAGCGCGTGAAAGAAATGTGTCGGATTCTCCGGCTCAACAGTGAAATAGAGGATCTGGCATTGACGTATTTCAGGCAGGCCTACCAGCAGGAGAGCTTCATCAACGTGACGCTCCAGAGGAAGGAAGTGCTTGCTGGTTGCTGCGTGTACGTGAGCTGCAGACAGCGGGACTGGCCGATCACTTTGGGAACCATCAGCAGCCTCCTTGATGCAGACCAGACGCTGGTGGGAGGCGTTTACCAGGAAATGATCAAGATCCTGAACATCCAGGCTCCTTTTGTCAATATCGCAGATGTCATAGAAGCACATGTTCAGGAGTAAGTGCTGTGGAAGCTTCTTTTATATTTGGTTATCTGAAATAATTGTGCAGGAGTCGCTGCAAGCGTTCTTTGAATGAGCATGCACAAAGCTTTCAATGAGATGCTGGAGTGGATCATCAGCAGATTGGGTCCTAAATGTGGTGTGGGGGAGGAGGGTGGCTTCATACTGATGTGCTCTGACTGACTGACCATCATCATGCAAAGAAATGACACGCCTGGTGTCCTTTCTATGTTGTTTTCCTGCACCTCAACCATTATCTGCTGCATATACATGCAATAAAAATTTCCATCTTTTTGATGTACATTTCCATGTTTTTTAGTCTGTTGGATGGTCCTTAACCATTGTGAATAAGGACTAAACTTCACTTCTGCTTCAAACGAGCAGCAGCAGAAATGAGCAAACACTTGGTACTGATATGAACTATTTCTCAGTTCAACGCTCCAACGAATGTTTATAAACCCTTAATAGAGCTCTGTTGATGCAACGACGTCCTGAAGGCAGCGTGTCGGAAAGAGCAGGAATGTCTTAACGGGGCAAAGTTCCAATTAAGTCAAATTTATGTTCGATATATATGTTTGATATATACAGGATTTTTGTAACTGAATGTGACGAAGTCCATTTATCATGCTACAAAATGATACCATGTGGTTAGAAAACACAAAATCCTGAATTTAGACACAAATCACAAAAATTTTCAGTCAAATCTAATTAAACATATTTTTTGTTTGACAGATACAAAATAAATGCACAACACGTTACTAAAGAACTGGCAGAGGACTCCAAGGTGTTGACCAAACGAGCCGTGGCGTTGGTGGAGTTGGCAGGAGATTCCTGGATTGTGACCGGACGACGGCCCCTTCCGATCATGATGGCTGCAACGTATTTGGGCTGGCAGTCTTTGAACCCCAACAAACATCGCCTCAGGCTCTCCCTCGACAAATTCTGCCACCTAGCCAAAGTGCAAAAGCGTAATCCAGCTGTAATGAGAATAACAGAGCTGAAGGAAGTGCTATGTAAGCTTGGCCAGGAACTTCCCTGGGTCAGGGAAACGGTGACTAAGGACAATGTTGTTCGGCTGGTGGGGGATATTCTAGAACACCGGCACACCCTGCTAACGCGGGCTCTGAGAACCCACGAGACAGCCATGCAAGCTGATTGCCCTCAGGCCAGCTCTTTGAACTCTCCAACAGAGGCGGTGGCACCGTCCCAAAGCTCTGCCAGCAGACATCAGCCTGCAGACGCTTCCTCTGTGGTGCAACTCTGTCCCACTGACAGAATGGAAAACCAAGAAGGAGACGATTCTCACCAGACTGAAGACCCAGAACCAAACTGGGGTAAAAGGGTCCTGTTTGCTCCTCCCTGTGTGATTCATGCCAAGAGGAGGAGAGTGGAGCCGCCTGTGCAGAACTTCACCGGCTATGAGGAAATCTCCGACAGCGAGATCGATTCATACATCCGCACTCCTCAAGAAGCTCGAGACTTTGCCCTGATGCAGAAGGAGGTGTCCTCCTCTGACAGAGGGAACTCATAGCTAACTTACACTGGTTTAATTAAGAAGTAACCCCCTTTTTTTTTTGAAGGATGTTTAATTGTTAAAGATTTTACAAAAAGTGTTTTTGCATTTCTGATTCACTACAACTGAACATGCCGCTTTCCAGGAGGTCAGCTTGTTTTTTGACTATTTTATTTTAAATTTATGTTGCTTAACATTATTACTTTGGTGCAAAAATAAAGCAATGTATTTTCACAAACTAATAGTTGAAAAGAAACTTTCACAAAGATGTGAGCCTTAATTTATATTTTTTACTGTCTGGGTGACTTATGATTTGTCTGCACAAAAATTTAATTTAATAAAATTTATATTTCCTACAATTATTATGTAACACAGAAAGAGAAAATTGCAACTACCAAAACTTGACTGAAATTAATTTGTCATTAATGAAGTGATTTAATCTTTATAAGCCAATTTATTACGTGATAAAGTGTCCTAAATCATGTTCTTAACTTAAGCAAACTTTTCCTCTCATTTTATAAGAATTGTGAATTTAAAATGATTGATACGGTATTGCTCACTGAATCGAGTACATATTTACTGTGACCGTAGTTAATATTGCAGTATAATGTATGTAAAATCACATTTAGCTGTAAATGCACAAAAATCAGGTCAAACAACACAGTTTAAATCTTCTCATAAAGTCAATAATTCCCCTTCAGGACCTTCCTGGAAACTGAAATATGAATCAGAATAATTATTTAGCATACATACATAGACATGTCATCAAAGGTGGATAAGGAAGATGTATTCGTTGTGTTCACTTCATTTAAATTCAATGCAACCACAAAAAAAATTGACAGGTGTGACAGAGCGCCGTTTCCTCCATCTGAATTCATTTGTTCTCCTGCACTGTTTCATAACTCAGCCGAGAACCGAACCATTCAGCTGATTCAGTCTGAATGAAGCAGGGTAGCGATTTGAATACCATCAGTCACAGATTTTCCCAATTTGAAGTTCCAACTCTGTGCTTCATAAAAATACAGAGCCGGGTTTGAAGCACTGGAGTCTGAGGATTCTGGCATTTTGGATGTTCTGTGGTTCCCGACTCTAAAGAAACTTGATCTTACATGTTGGACAAGCCCAGTTTGTTGAACAAAAAACAAGATGAGCCCCAAACATAACCTCTGGTCCTTTAATAATTTGCTTGCAATTTGTTTTGAGAAGTTATTTTTGAACTCTCATACAGAAACTAGGGTCTTTTCAGAGAATCTATAGCTTCTTTCTTTTATTTATTGAATGTGATCAAGTTAAGATGCCTTCAGGATGACCCACAAAAATCTGATTTTACAAGAGCACAGTTCTTTAGTGCGTTTGGGAGTAATTCTTTTCTCTTCACCTGCCTCAGGATGTTGAACATTCCTTTAGAAACTCCTGTGGTTCAAAGCCAAACTGAGGCATGTAAAACCAGAGGATTTAGTTAATCAGCACGTCAACTCCTGACCACCTCATGCAACAATGAAGTCCTCCAGCATTTAAATTTCCTTATTCCTCCAAATGTAACAATGATCCTTATGGCCAAGCACTGAAATTTCAGCCTCATCAGAACCCTGAACATGTGTCTGAAAATTAACAAATTATTTCCTGGAGAGTTTAAAATGCAAAGTTCTTTTTGCAGTTTCTAAAAAAAATTCAGTTCCAACTGTAAATGTTTTATAACATCTAACTATAAAAGCTTTTTGATGCACTAAAAAGGAGACATGCTACTTTTTAGTGCATCAATGCACCAAGTAGACAAAATTCCTGCAGGTTACTGAATGTTGATGATGAAAATGTAAGAGAACTGAAGCGGTAATAAATCCTTCATAATGGTGGTGTTTAAAGAGATGAGATTTGAGCTCAGAGACACTTTAACAGCCTGAAAAAAGAACACCATCATAGGTAAATGGGTATTTTTCTCTCTCAGGGGACAGAGAGAGAAAGTTGTTTTTCATGAGGTCTAATCCTGTGTAATGTGTTGGTGACTGACTGGCACAAACCCTCAACTAACTTTATCAAAGACAGAAATATTTCCACACATGTTCTAAAAATAATTCCTAATTGTTCTACACCATCTAGATTTAGAATAATGACAGCGATGTGGAAAAACACATGGATGTCTTTGTTAATTATGTATAATGCTTTATGAATTACAATTAGAGCTAATAGTCTGAATTGACCTGAGGAGAAAAAGAGCTCACAATAATCCTACATACATCTTCATAAATTATTTTCACAAACAAGCCTCAGGATCTGAGGCAAACTGACTTCAGTCCGAGCCTGAACAGCAAAGAGAAGTAATGATTGTTAGCAATAGTAGACAAAAATCTGTCCTCAAAATCTGACATTCTGATGCACATTAACATACCACCTGAAAAATGTCATTATAATAAATTATGGCTAAATCCCATTTAGTCCTCCTCACTAATGGATGTGTTGTATTATAACAGGGCTTGGAGGGACAGCAGATTGCAGCAACACTTTTATTAATGTTTCTCATAACACCTGGGTTTAGTCCATGCTAGAATATCCAAATGAGATTGAAAAGAAGTTAATGAAGAGTGATATTTTATGATTTTGTTTATCTGGAAAATAGCCATTGTGTCCTTCATGAATTTTGTCATTTTAAGATTTAAAGTTTGACGTTGTTCTTCATGGGAGTGCACTAAAAAAAAACAATTTTTACAGGTAAATGGGATCTATTTTCCTGCAGGCTTTGTTTCATTTGATCAAACAGAATTGAAAGTGGTAATCTTTTATTTCACAGAGAGCAGCAGAGTTACTGCTTCAGACTGAACCTCATCCATCTGCAGGAATGGATGAGCAAGCCCCAGATAACGCTGACAAGATTTACGAGATCAATAAATTATCACATTTCCCTGTTCTGAGCAGGTCTAATTCACATGCAAACATTCTAGTCTTCTCCTCATCTAATTAGCAAATTTAGCCATGCAGCTGCACATTGACCCGTTAATGTAACTGAATTTCCTCTTCCACCACAGTCCACTCACACTAATCTGAAGCCAGGGTTGTTTCACATCTTTTCACATTTTAAACATTTTAATTTAGACTTTCACTTCATTTATTTGCATGCATTTAACGTGCAAAACATCAGCAAACACATTGTTGGATCAAACAAAATAAATGGGTAACAAATAATAACAAGAAGAAAGAAAATTACATTTACAAAGAAACATTAGTATTGAGAACATCAATATTTTCTCAGTGAAGACTTTTCTAATGAATCTGACTTGAAACAGCGGCTGTAGTTGGCCACCCATGTAAACCACAAATGTAGCCAAATAGAAATAAATTAGACCATAAATGGAATGTAATAAAGTGAAATAGGATGCCTCCTGCATGAAGAAACTGGTCTCATCCATTATGCATGAGGGATGTGGGTGACAACCTTTATCCACACAAAATTTATTTAAATCATGAAGTTTCTGGGAGATTTTCAATTACCGTAATTTCTGGACTAACAAGCCGCACCCACAAAACAGGGTTCAAATGTAGGCCATACTTTTCTATAAGCTGCAAGAGTATTAAGATTTACACTGAAATATGTACTATAAATGTTTATTTTTTTCCGTACATTGTTTGCAAAAAATATAGCTGACCAGGAAAAGTAATTGATCGCCATGAGCCTAATCGGCTTCTAACCAAGGAGTTTTAAAAATCTGGACTGCTTTGAATGAATTTGTCTTGACACAAAAGTGATATTGAGAGTAACAACAAAGAGAGAAGGAGGAAGTTTTCAACACTTCTGAAAAACATTAGCGGCTTATAGTACGGAAATTATGGTAGTAATATATTGGGTAACTGGCTCGGCCATTATAGCAGCTTTAACTTCTTTCTCTAAACCAAACTGAGTGTGGTTTGCTGTATTGTCTTACTTAAAACCAATTCAATGTCTTATTTAAAATCAATGCATGCAATAGTCATTTTCCTCCATGTATCTATAAATAATCATCACTGAGACAGATACAGAAGCATGTCAAGAACATGACGTAGTAGCTCTGCAATAAACACAATAATAAAAGTGGATAGTTTGGCCAATTTGGCAGCTAATAGCCTCTGCTACAGATAAATATGACTTCATACCAACTTCAAAACCATGAGGAACAAAGGATACACAGCACAACACAATATTGACTGTTAGATTTTATATATATCTATCTATATATATACACAATTTCAAATGATCACGTTCAAAAATAAGATGATGACTTCGATGGTGGTGTACATTCGTCTGCTGCTGGCATAAAGATGATGAAAGCCTCGGGGCGCAGCCTCATAAATTTAACCTCTCACTGCTTCAAGAAGGAAATGAAGATCCAATGTGACGCAAGAGCCTCACTAGAAACAATCAAATAAAAATGGTCACATGTAGTGACCATTTCTAAAACGTGATTTGAACTGATAGTTTGATTTTCCCTTCATTTCCTTTCCAAATAAACCTTTTTTTTTTTCATCAATTTCAATCTGGTCTTGGTCGTGATCCTCTCGTTTAACAGTGACATTCAGCGTCTCATGTTTCCCAGATGGGTACTTTCTGCAAACATGTTTGCAAATATTGAGCTTTCTGCCTGTATTTGCAACTCTTGCATAAGATATTGAAGGATTCTGAGCTTGAAGATTTGAAGCTTCATCATCTTTAATAAACAAAATTCTAAATCAGAATCCATTTAGTCATCACAAAACTCTGACATTGTGTGAAACATTCAAGATTTCTTGGAGACTTTGCAATAATCTAAATAACAGACTATAAACAATAAATATCTTTGATTTTGATCTCATATGCTTATTTATTCAATACTTTAGCAACAAAACAGAGTTTTGAATTGAAAATGTTGCTTATTTTCTCAGTATTTTTCAATTAAAATGCAATTAACTCATTAGAGACCCTGCCATTAACTCAATTAAAACATTTTAAGTGAGGTCCACCTCAGGTTCGGATACAACCTGGATTTAAAACAGTTTGTTTCACCAACAAATTAATTCTTCTTACTGCTGATATGAACAATACAAATGATTGCTCTCAAGTAAATAACTTAAGTTTCATCATATATACAAATCTTGATGATTTTTGACATAATCACGTCTTTTCTACTGTTTTTTGAGGCTACAGTCATTTTTGCAGTTCCATCAGATGGATGGAACAGCAGCGCATTGCTTGACTTTTGGTTTGTGCATAGATTATTTACTGCTCGACAGTGGCTGGGTTGCACTTGCACTTGATGGATAGCGTTGGTCAAGTTCCCATCTGCGCAGAAATACAAATAAGCAAACAAGGCAGGCTACAAAACCACCCCGGCCGCGCAGTGGCTGGCGGGGACTCCAATGCGATGGCTGCTCTTCATCATCTTCCTCAGCTCCGCGCGGAAGCGATCGTGCAGCCACGCGTAGAGGAAGGGGTTGCAGCAGGAAGAGCTCATGGCGCAAAGGTGGCACAGCAGCTGGATGAGCAGGAAGTACCGCTTGTTTATCAGGTGGATGTCGATGTCTCGCAGGACGTTGAACACGTGGATGGGAAGCCAGCAAACGGCGAAGGCGGACACCAGCAGAGCGACGAGGCGGAAGATCTTCCTCTTTCGGGCCTGGTGGACGCACACCTGGTCTTGCGACCTGTTTCCAGGGACGACGCACTTCTTCAGCTTGACGGTGATGCAGAGGTAGGAGACGAAGACGGCCGACAGGGGGAGGACGTACGTGACCAGCAGCGTGCTGTAGGCGTAGGCCCGTCTCTCCGTCTCCTGGCCCAACCAGAACTCCTCGCAGATGGTGAAGCCTTCTTCCTTGAACTCGACATGGTAGGTGTGAGTCACCGCCGGAGCCACCAGGCCGCAGGACAGCAGCCAGATCCCGATCAGGACGTAGGCACAAGTGGCCACAGTGGTTCGCTTCTTCAGTGGGTGAACCGTGGCGTAATATCTGCAACGGAGGGAGAGTGGTGCTTTATCAACCTCGACAGAGCCAATGGAGGGTTTATCAGGGCCTGATTGATGAATTAATGCCGCTGTGACGTCTGCGCAACAGGAAGCATTAAACTGAAAGTTCAAGTCCCAGCGATCAGATAGAGGAGAAATGCTAAATGGGTTAATTAGGCCTAAAGCTGTTTCTGTGCATCTAATGAGGGATGCTGACTTGCTTTTCAATCAGACAGCCAGCTTTGTGCAGAGCAGTTTGTGACCTGGAAGGTCAAGGTTGCAAAGACAGCAAATGATGCTCAGGTGTGTCAAAAAAACAAAAACAAGCACTTAAAACTGTCAGTTTGTGTTAAAGTGATCCAATCTAAAGGAGAGAAGCTTTACTGAAGATAAATAAAGGCTTGAAAGTCAAATGAAAAATAGTTATTTGAAGCTCACACCTGCTTATTTGTTTGATTTGTTTTGCACATTCCCTTAGAATAATAACGACATTTTTAAGAATATATTTTTGCACCATGCTAGCTCTTACGAGAAGATCACTGATTAGGAAATTTCACATTGAGTAATTGCTTGCCACTTCAAGACCTTATCATTGATTAAGGAGAGCAAATTGTTCATTTTAATTTTTTGTACATGCAAATCAATACTCCCCTTCATGTGCCTAGTTCTCAAAGAATACAACATGATTGCATTCACTGGCTTGCGAATTCACTCTTATTTAGAAAATTGCATTTTATTTTTTTTGTGCCACATTTTGCTTAGTGATTTATACCTTGTAAAACCAATACACCACTAACGTCATTGTATTTTACTGGGCTTTACTGAGCTGAAGATCATTCAAAAAGTGTAAATGAGAATGCTACCAAGCTACCAAACATGACCATCATCCTAAACCGACTGTTTTGGTAAGAAAAAAAAATTAAACAGAATCTGTCAACCAGGCAACTATTGGTTTACACCCTAAATCTGAAACCGTTTGTGGTTGTAGCATGAAACAATGCTGAAATACCTACTATTACTTGAGCATATGGATAGATATTGGCACGAATCCTGTCAGAAGCTGAAAAAGGTTTGTACAAACAACTTTCCTGAATGGATTATAGAGACAAACAGTTCTCCATTGCTTAGATACAATATTTCACAGCGCTTTGCAAACGCTGCCTTCAAGATGCACCACTGTGAACTTCATACTTTGTTCCCATGACTTTCAGTAACACAAAGGAGTCAATAACAATGACTTTTATTTAGCTATAAAGTTGCCTTGGAGAAAACTACTCCCATGTTTCCAGTCATAAGAAGAAAAAAAAAGAAGAAATCTTTAATTAGCAAAATACATTACAATTTCAAATTAAAACTGTTTAGTTTTGATTGCTTTACACTGGTTTGCCTCTTAGTTAGGTTTGTCTCAGAAAAGAGTTGTTACGCCAAAGAACTTCCTGGTAAAAATAAAAAAAGTAAAATAAAAACATCATAATCATCCACTGCTTTATATGACAAAAATCCTAATTGATACACCGAATTTTGTGGTTGTAGCATGAAAAACTGGAAATGTTTCATGTGGCATGAACACTTTTGTAAGACATGTATATTTAAAAAATAAGTATATAAATAAATCTAAGTAATATAAGAAAAACTTAAAAATTTCCAATTGTCAAAGCTGTGATTGCTTGCAGGTATTTCCACCCACCTGTCCACAGCAATAGCTGTGAGCGTGAAAACGGAAACGTATACAGTGACAGGTTGGATGAGGAAGACCAAGTAGCACATAGAGCGGCCGAAGACCCAGCCGTGTGGATTGAAGGCATAGGCGAGAGTGAAGGGGACGCACGTCACACACATGAGCATGTCTGAGAAAGCCAGGTTCCCGATGAAGAAGTTGGTGACGTTGTGCATCTTGCGGGTTCGGCAGATGACATAGAGGAGCAGGTAGTTCCCGACGACGCCCACAACAACCACGAGCACGTAACAAGGGATGATGAGAGGCTTGAACGTCTGCAGCAGGGCCACATCTGCAAACTGTGAGGTGCGGTTGGTGGAGTTGCTCTGCACTGCTACCTCATAAATCCGCCCCTCAGGTTGCTCTGCAGATGTGGAAGGCGGCGTGCTTCCTGTTGGACGACTGCAGTTAGCCTCCATGGCCTCCTGTCTGTCGGTGCACTGCAACAAAAAAGTGGCAGGTTTATAGTTAAACATCACCAACACCTCTAAAAGGTCAGACTGTCAGGCACTTGAAAAATATAAACACAGAGGGAAAAAAGTTCATGACATTTAATAAATGGAAGAAAAAGCACGCTTTTACGTTAACTCGTTTAGAAGTAAAGAAGGTACAATGAGGCAGATGGTTGTGCATTATAAATGCAGAGTGCAACTCCTTCCATCTACCAATAATATGTGTTTTAGAAACGCCACATGACAACAATAGGTCCTAATTTACATCCCAAGTGCTGCAGAAAAAATGTCATTATTAATTAACTCACTCTGTTTGGCCTGTTTAGCATATTCACAATAACTAAGCATGGCTGAGATGCATCGTTTTTAAATTTTCCTTCTTTGTGAACTCATTCAAACATGGCTTCCCCAGGGCTGCTGCCTGTCACCACATCAGCTGATCAAGAATAAATCAAATGAAAGTTCAACTAGGACATGTGCATTAAAATATTTAAACACCAACACATTTTTTAAAATATTCTTTCAACCCTCAGGCATTATTCCTTCGAAGCCTGACATAAATAATGAAACTCCATCATTTTCTGATCCCCAGCTGTGAGGCAAAACTGGACGCATGTATCCCAGTGCCACCAGAACAGTTTTTCAGAAATAATAATAAATAAAAAAAACTCCCCATATCAGGCTTGTAGATCCTCCAGGCAAGTTGTAACAGTTTACCTTCATCACATTGTCATTATCATTTTAATTAATGAGCTCTGGAAATCTTCCAACGTACAAACCACAGGAAGTACGGGGTCGCGCCCTCATGTGGTGACTGTCACACCAGGCTGAGCATGAATGCATTCAAATGACTTCACTGCTGGCTTTAACCTTTTGAAAAATGTTTGACTTAATGAAGGTTTTTGATGACCCTGAACTGAATGGAGCTCTCCCTGCTGACAATAAATATTCAATTCAGACGTAACTGGCAGCTGAAAAAAAATGTCATTGCAAACTTTTGCAACTTTATGCAGATGGTGTCGCAGCATTTTCCCTCAAGGACAAGAGCTTCATACACCGGGCAAATTAAGATAGAAAGTTAACTTTTGCCAGAATGTTTCTTCTAACAGAAAATGGTATTATTTTTAAGCAGCCCAGTCAAATGCCAAATTTCAATCTGAAAGAGTCTAAAAGAGCAGGCGAAATATTAGGATGATGGCAAAGAGGCCTTCCAACCTCACAGCTAATTGCCCAAATCAGAATGTACAAATTTTGATTTGGGCAAACACGTGAAAAAAACTTGTAATTATGAGAAGATTTTGAATGTCATAACAACACTTTTTTTTTTTTAAAATAAAATCATTTTGTCAACATTCCTACGTTTATATTTTTTATTGTATTATCTGAAATGCCTGTCTCATCTCCTAACAGAAGAACACTCAGTTGAATCAAAATTACCCTAATTCTAAAATTGACATGCGTGTTCATATTTTTGGATTAATTGTGGCTCAGACAGACTTTAAAAAATGTTGCACTGAAAGGAACATATACAAAAAAATAACAGCTGAAACTTAAATGTCATTTGTTCAAGTAAGGCTAATATCAGCGTTACAGCACAGCTTGCTGCTGCAAGGAAGTTAGAACAGTAGCAGTTTATGAGCATTTGTCTTGAAGGTAAGATAAAAATTCTCGTTGTTTTTTCAATAAAAAAAAGAATCTAAAAAAACAAATGGATGAAACATGCCTTCTATTTCTAAAGTGTGAAATATGAAAAAGAAAACAAGGGTAGTGTTGGAAGAATCCCAGAAACAAAAGGCTGAATAAATGCAGTAAATAATTCCCGTATGCAATTTTACTTTTGTGGATCTCTGAGTGTGCCAAGCCCTGGCAGCTTTCAGAACTGAAACTGAAATGTGCTTTACTCACAGGAGCCACCAGAATTATATCTCTAAATAAATCTTAAAACCACTTGAACAAATGCTGGCTGATGCAATTTCTGGCATTTAGTCCTTTATACCTGACAAAGCAAACTCTGCAGTTACTTTGACAAAGTCATGGAGTCATCTGTAAGTTCGACCACGCTGGACCTCTGAATCAAAACAGAGCACTCATCTTCTGAGGAATAAATAATCTAAGAATGACAAGCAAACATACAGTTGTGCATTGTTGACAGGAACTGGCCTTTGTGCCTGAACACAGCAATGTGGGAGCTTTCAGAGTTCAGGAGCTTCAGGCATTCATCCTTTAGTAACCTCTAGAAGAGACGATGCTGCTCCTTCAGCTCAAAAGATCTGAGAACTCAGAGCTTAAGGGGGTTTAATCAGAAGGGATTCAGATAGTTCTGTGAGAAGCAGAAACTGATCTACCTGAGAAAAAGTCATTTTTTTGCACTATTGGGAGTAAATAGAAAAGTATAAAAACAGCATTTTCAGTTTTATTTTTATTGTTTTTTTTTCTTTTTTCAAATGAACAAATTTGAAACAAGAATTCAACCAGCTTGCATAGTGGCGCAGTTGCCTTGCAGCAAGAAGGTCCTGGGTTCAATTCCCGGTCTTTCTGCACGGAGTTTGCATGTTCTCCCTGTGCATGCGTGGGTTCTCTCCAGGTACTCCGGCTTCCTCCCACAATCCAAAAACATTACTGTTAGGTTAATTGGTCTTTCCCAAATTCTCCTTAGGTGTGAGTGTGTGCGCGTGGTTGTTTGTCCTGTCTGTATCGGTGTTGCCCTGTGCCTGGAGATGGGCAGGAGATGGATGCTCATCAGTGTGCATGCTACAATTTTCTTTCACTGAATTATTGTCACCTGCAGCCCAGAGACTTCATGGTTCTGCTGTCTTTTCACATTTGTCCTCTGCTAATTAGCATCATTTGTGCTGAGGTGCAGACTGGGGATTAATCTCAGCAACAGTTGAAGCATAGACAGCCTGTTATACTATCAATGAATGTATTGAACAGGGATTTCAATGACAATGTGATGTGAGGTTTTGTCTTTTGCTTTGACTACTGTAGACGATTTTAATGAGGTCTGTTTTACTATGAGAACTTTTTTTATACTCCAAAATATCATGCAATAAAAATACTGTGCGAAACCTGAATTTAAACTAAACGTGTAAGTGTATTTAAAAGGACAAGCAGTTATCTGTAACATCCCAAGAAATCTAAAAACACGAATGTAACAGATCAATTAAATTATATAATTGAGGGAACATCACCAGAAACAAGTATTCAACACTTTAAGGAAAGAAAGAGACTGCAAAAAGTTATAGAAATCCAAGTGACCAATTCCAGTGTCTCTGTAAATTGATAATAGTTGGTTTAGTTCAAGCTTGGCATTATTGGTTTCAGATACTTTTAACTGAATGTTCCAGTGAGCCCATTTGGAAACTATCCAGGAAGAGAAATAAAAGAATTTCACCATAATCCAGCCAGGACCAAATGTTTCTCGCACAATTTGTAACCGAGGACCCAGAATAATAATCTCCACAAGAATAATCAGGGATCTTGTGGAGAAAGATTAAGAAATACCAGGTACCTTTTTTTTTAAATAAATACAGTAAGTTAGGCGCTCACTACACAAGTCTCCACTAGTGAAGAAAATGAATGTTAAGGCTAATTTAAAGTATGCTGATTATTTTGTGTTATTTCATATTTTCATTTCACTTGTTCCCTATCAGACATACTTCCTGCTGTCTCTGTTTAGCTTCAGTTTCTTCCCGTCCCTCACAGCTGCAGGCCGTTTCCAGTTAACCATCTGATTTTTGTCCCCACGTGTCTCAAGTAGGCAACTGTTGGTCAAAACATCCTGTTACTCACACTAGAAAGTTGCTTTATTGCTTTTAAGTAAAACTGTTTATTTTTTCCTGCTTGACATTGATCTCTGAAATGGTGTTTAAAAAAAGGCCAGAGAAAAGTTGGTGTGAGCCGTTGCTGTCCTCTGAATTTTAAAAACAGTTTTTTGATGCATTTTTCTTGGTATTCTAGGTGTAAGACATTTTTAAAAAACTTGTCACGATTCTGATGGCTCTTAAAAGCAGTGAGGACAAGAAGACAGGCAGCTTTTTTTTCTCCAGTTCTATTATTTTCAAGCATAAAGCTGAATAGAAATAAGGTGGATTCAGATGCATTTTTCTGACATGTCCAGTATGAGTTAGCAGCTAAGTTAAAATTAGTTTAAATTCAACAAATGCATTGATGTTTCTCTCCTGAAAGGCGGTCGCACTCGCATTCTAGCTGCTGCTCTCCACATCATCACATAATCAGCCCTGCCCATTTATCTGTGCCCCAAAGGATGCTTTGGACCGGTGCTGCAGAAACCTGCCAGAGGGAATCCTTTGTAGCAATGTGACCTCCTCGTGCTTTGTTGCCAGTTTGCCTGCAGAATAATATTTTCATTGGAAACTGTTATTGTTCTCAGTCTTTTCCTCTTGTTTTCTCAATACAATATGTGTTGTCCTGGTTTTCAGTATCAAATGTAATTTTTTTTTTTTTTAGTGCTTGGGGAGGGAAAAAAATATCTGAATTTTGCACATAAAATCACAGAAATTAAAAATTTAACTACAAAGCAGAACTCCAAATGCATAACATTTCCCATATAAAAAAAAAAATAAGACTTAAGTTTTTAAAATATATTTATTAGCCAGATATGTAAGTTTTCTCTTTTCAAACTGATTGATTTTAATCTATCACTTGAAAAGCCATTGTTATTGCACTTCTAGAATATATCAATATAAATCCTTCATCTTAAAGCTAATCATTTCTTCCGCTGCTTTTAGCAAAAAAAATAATTACATATCAATGAATCTACACACAGTAAGTCCCTCTTGTTAGATAAATTGAGCCAATGCAATGCTTTTTAATGATAGAGCCTAACTTACCTGGTCTGATATTTCTCCGTTGAAGAGAAGTGAGGACTGGTACCAATGGACCTTGACAGTGTGCTTTTCCTCGGTGAGGGAGCTGAAGCTGCTGCTGGTTTAAACGGAGAGAAAGAAGGTGGGAGGCGTGCAGAGCGCAGAGGGAGAGGAGATAAATCTGAGACGTCTGTGGAAATGATGGGGAGCCAATTAGATGGCAGAGAAACCAACAAAGATTGATGTTTGGGTTGGACTTGGTGATGACGTTTGATTAGTTAGTGGTCAGGTCAGAGAGGCAGTTCGGTGTGAAGCAGGATTATATTTCTGCTCATAGGAATGTGAAGGGTAGATTTATTGTGTTTTTTTTAATGACATGCTAATGTAAAAAGGCAGATTTTCTACAACTCTGTATCAATGAGCTGCTTGTTCTTCAGCTTTAAAACAAAATTAGTTGATTCTTCAATGGATATTTTGACTCTGGTCTGAAATCACATATTTAAAAATGACAGCTTGCCTTAATGGTTTTGGTTTCACTGTGTATCTGAAAACACGGAAATTAGAGTCAAGGATCATCAGTTCGTACCCATTTCAACTCCCAATCTTCTCCCATTATACTTGAAAACAAAACATTTAACAATTAAGTATCAACTTATATTTCTCTTAGAAGTTAAATAGTTCAAAATTCTCAAGCCTCTTAATTTATTTTAAAACTTTATTAGTTTTTGAAGATCTTATATCACACAGTTTTTTCATAGATTTTTCATTTGACCATCCTTGACCATAAGTGGATTAAAAAACATAATTTTAAAATTAGCTGCAGTTAAATAGCCTCCGCAGAGAGCTTTTCATACATCTAATTTTTGACAGGAAAAAAATGTATTTCATGTCTGATCTGTGAATAAATTAAAAAATTAAAAACATTGGACACAATTAAAAGTAAAAAAGATTGGACACAAACTGCTGAATGATTGATGTAAAATGGCAAGTGACAGATGTTGTTTTGGGGGGAAAACAACCAAGATGCTATCATTGGGGGCTTTGATCATTTATCTATTTTTGCAGGTATTGCCATATTCTGTTCACTCCTCTGAGTCAAACATTGCAATTTCAGTAAATTTCTTTATGTTCACTTTCTATATTTATTCCTTTAGATTGTTTTTTTGTGCATTTGTTTTTTTTTTCTTCGATCAAAGTTGTTCTTTTTTTGTTATTTACTGCATCCATTGTATAGATGGCTCTCATTTTTCATTACTGGGTCCTCCTGATATCCTTTCCCCGTTCATCTGCCTGTTAATGTCCCTTCACTCTATTATCTGTGATTCCACCTGTAAGGTTTCCTTTTATTTTCACCATTAAATAAACTTTGTCCTGCAATAGTTTCTGCTCTCGAGCCTTCTGCAAAACAACAAACCAAAACTGCAAAAATAAGAAATGACAAAAAGCAAAATGACCAGATTCAAGTGTGAAGATCACGTCTAATTATTTTTTCTATTACACATCTGCAAAGGTACAAATTTAGTTGCGTTCAAGCTCAATAAAACATGCTGTTATGTATTGTACAACTGAATCACTGATAAAAAAAAAAAATCCCAGTTACATAATTTTGTTCTTTTTTTCACTCCTGTAATTGAACGTGCGAAGGACAGCTTTTACATATATATATAAAAAAAACAAAATGGTTTTGTAAATACCTCCATTTTAGAGCGCTGTTGCCAGGTGAGAGTAAATAACTCTGATATTGACAGCGTGTCCATCTGTAAAAGGTTTTAAATTGCACAATTATTCACTTCTGATTGTGTTTGAGCTCCAAGCGACAGAGTCACAGATATTAAAACCTCTTCGGTAAATAATTAGAAAATGACCTTTTTATCATAGGCTGAGGCAAAGCAATCTAAATAATAACTCACTTCACTTATTGCAATCTTTAATCTGTTGTAATTGTATAGGGCACAACTTGCAGAAATGTCAGATAAACTTGTAAATCAATGGGTAAATGATCATGAAATATGATGGAGAATAATCTGCATGGTCAGCTGCTGAGGAAGCAGGCAGCTGACAGAGATGAGTTGTGCTTGAAGACAGAAGCTGGGAAGCAGAATCTTTGGAGCTGATTTGTTTGAAACAGGTTCTCCTGCTAATTTTCTTCTCCTGGACACATTTGTAGACTATTTGCACCTGCATAATTGGCAGAAGATCTCATTAAGCATATTATCTGAACGCGTTCAGATGTGACTTTCAGGGGTTGTTGTCTGAGGTCATTGGTTTATTTCTGTTGTTGGACACCAGTTCTGATAGCTACATGTGCCAGGGGCTGCTTAGTTCTGAGTTTCACTCATTGTTTGTCCGTCTCCCTGCAAACCTACGCCGATGAACAACATTTTATTGTTAGTCACAAAATAATCATAATAAAGAAAATGTTAGCCACTTTGTGAGTCAGACACAATTAACATTTAAATCCAAAAGATGCCACTTGCCTGTCACAGGGCTTGATGGATTAGAAGACAAATAAAGAGAGAAATGAAAACTATTTTTACCCTGAGATCAGAGGGGATAAGCTACTGTAAGCAACCAGTTGATCTATTCAAATCATATAGCTCCTATATTTAAAAAAAAAGAGAGAGATAGGTTAATGTGAAACATTTGCCTCTGCCGTAATGACTCATTGACTTGATATTAACCTGACAATGATGTGCTGCTAATAACAGCTACGTTTTGCACCCTGTGCATCATATTTACATAAAACTCACTTTTCATTTACCCATTCGTTGACCGGACACCGTGTTCTTCTAGACAAAGTGATCATTAATTGGAAATTTCGTACCCCTGTTATTGTAACATTTATCTGAAACACTTTCAGAAAGAAGGAGACCCAGGTTCTGAAGAATATTAAATTAAACCACTCGCATAAAAAACAGCTCAGAAAAACTTGTTGCATGTTTTGTGCTGCAGTGGGTCTTCTACCCTTAAGAGCCTAAAATAATAAAGATAATCTGTTACAATTTGTTAAAAAATACATATTCAAACCATGATTTAAAGGCTTTACTTTAAATCTGATAACTTAATCCATCCGTCCAGATTCTAACTGAACCCTTCTTTCATTTTGGAGGAGATGACGATGTTTCACACCCCGGCAAAGATAATGCAGCACAATTGAATGGGGCATCACATTAGACTTTCAGAGCGCTTCCTCGTTTTTTAACTTATACACCAGGGAGCTCTAAACACTCAGGAATTTCTCAGTAATGTGGAAACTTGATAATCACAGCACTGTTCCTCTTTGGCAAATCCCATCTCCATTTGACTTAGCAGGACTGCATGTTCTCTCCTCACCACGTTAATGAACTCAGTCTAGAAACTGTGCTCTTTGTGAAGCTCAGTCGCTGATAATGTACACAGAAGTGCAGAATATATAAAGTTGGCTTGTGGAGGAAGAAATGACTCAGGCATGAAACTGTCCTGTGAAAAGAATATAAAATATAGGAGGCGAGCATTTATTTTGTAATATTTTGAGCCAAATGAAAGAAAAGGTTAAACGAGTTGGTATTATGAAATATTATTGTTTTCATCCTGGTTCTGTGATAAGCAAAAAATGGATCCAGAAAGTGAGGTTTTCATGTAAAACAAACCCAGAGAACCAATCCTGCAAACCGGCCCAGTTAGATTTGTCAGGGTTGGTGTTCAGAAATACAGTTTAGCTATTATTGGTCTATTTTAAATTTGCTAATATCATCAAGTCAAAAAGCGATGAGTACTGAGGTGTTTAAATTAAGAGGGTGAGCAGCAGCTGCACGGGGCTGATGGTGAATATAGCAGAGCTGATTTCCATATAAACACGATTGGGTAATATTCAGTGAGATATTCACATGGAAAACAGCCAAAACAATTTAAGCACAAAGAGGGACTTTTATAGAAAAAAGGAAAATGCAGTTACAGCCATTTTAAATTCAGCATTACCTTTCAGCATTTCAAAATGAATAGGACGTGCAATAAAATGGATATTACCATCACTGAGTTTTTAAACATTTTTTTAGCTTTTGCATGAGACTAATAGAGGCCAATATTAAAGCTAAAAATAAAAATAGTCATTCATAGCAATAACGAAATGCATTGCTTATGAGCTTATTGTTCTGTACAACAAAGATAATTTCTTGCTTCTGTTAGTTGTTTGCTTGAGATCCTCTACATAACTTCACCAGAAGATCATTTTTTGATCTACCAATAGAAGGAATCTCACATTTACATATAGTTGTATATTAAATTGGGGGAATCTCAATGGAAGTGTCTGGTATTTTATTTTTGTGAACTCAATTCCACATTGATTAGGATGAACAAAGAAAATCCTGAGCTTACTTATTCAATGTGTTTCAGTGAGGCTTTATTTCTTTTTACGTGAAACTTCTTAATTCTTCTGGCTCCTTGTTTGTCTTTATTACATGTTTCTAAATCCTTTTGTTTGATAAAAGAGCCCAGAGTTGCTTCTGATAGCTTCTTCTATCTGATGCATTTTACATTCAGTTCCTGCAATTGGATTACGCGTCTGTGGATGTTCTTCCCATCAGTCATGAGCATTTTGTATTCTTATGGCATTTTGTAGCTGTAGCTCTAATTTACAAAGGTATAGTCAGGATGTAATGTGTGGATTTTCCTTTAAAATGTTTTTTTTTTTAAACAATATTCTCTTGCAGCTGGGAATTCAGGCTGTTCACATTATAAAGATGTGCAACCTGGACTCTGTTTTGGGCCCAAGAGTTCAGATCTAATAGAAAATCTGAGTGTAAAAACAGAAAATCATGAAACAGGGAGTGAGAGCACTGGGGAAAGCTGGGAGTAGATTTTTCACCAAATAGAAGCTGAGAAATTGAGAGAAACACAAAGAACTCCCAGAGTGCACAGGTTTATAGCTGAAGGTAAAACTTGTTCTGGACAAGAATGAAAGTAAACACGTTAACCTTTGGATATTTTACAGTTTTTATAACAACCATGGCTGTCTGCTGGCAGATATTTACCTCTTATTAAGTGGACAACATGTCCAGACAAGATGCAATCTGAATTAAAAAACCCCACACAAAACAAGAGTAGCCTGTTTCAGATTAGCATCCATGCATGTCAGAGTATCAGATTTTGTTCTGCAGGGTGACAATGTGTTTCACAACAACTATTAGACTGCAGTGAACAATTGCTCTGTCTGAATCAGTTTTTCTTTTTTAATATTTCAGATTAATGTATTTATAGCAACCTTTGGGGCCAGACTCAGCACATTTAACAAGACAACAGCTTTGGGCTTCTCCTTTCCCCGCTCTGTTTCATATTAATAAATGTAATTTCAGAGCCTCCTGGTCATGAAGTCGGTCTCTCATGAACAAAATAAAACCCCCACTTTTTCCTCTCCATCCTTAAGGTGCTTCACCCTCTCACTCCTCATAAATCAGTATTCAGATTAGTTCCTTAGATATTTTAAATCCGCATGGGGAATAGTTCATTCTCTAATTTTGACCACCTTCAGCTTGAGTGAACAGTCAGATGGGATCTGAATACTGAATTCATTACCATCCGTCCTACGAGGGGAGAATAGCAACCGTAATGTTTTTAATAGGCGTTGATTTCTTTTCAATCAACATTAGCTGAAAAATGGGAGATAATAGGAAAATGTTTTCATCCGACAAATGAAGAGTAGGATGTCATTTACATTGAAAAAGTCTTGATTTCAAGAGACGACTGTTTCAATTAATTCTCCCAGATGAGTCTCCAATTACGACACGTTTCATAGTACCATCTGTCACTTCGCGTTCTTTGCATAATGCTGCCTGTTACTGCATTATGCAAACAAAGCAACAAGTAACAAACAAGCTTATTTGGTTTCATATAAAAAAATACACACGGATAGGGAAAACATTAACAGCTGATTAGGAGATGAATAAAGTGTTTTTCTAAGCAGGATTCTTATGGACATATACGACATTTTTAGGCAAATGAAAACAAGCTTTTAAAAATAGATTTATAATACGTGTGTGCATTATCCAGCCCAGGTAAAACCATTCTTTTGTCAGTGAGAAAACTATTCACCAGTAGAGTCTATTTAACCTTTTTTCACAAGAGTACTGATCAGTCATCGATTCATCAGCTGGCTCTCGTTAATCTGCACTAATCAGGTTGTTAATGTTGTTAATAGTCTGACTCCATCTTCTCTGCTCCTCTTTTCGCCTGAAGGTCAAACAACCAGATTTTTTTTACATGTTCTGAGTTGGAAATTGAAAACACAGATGCTATCATGTCGGTATGTTGCTGCCTCCATGTGAAGTTTCTGCCTGGAGCTTTTAAAAACCAGCTTTGAACTCTGGTCAATCTTGGCATCTTCGTTTTTAATTTGATCAACATTTTGAATCAATCTGAGAAGCTACATGAAGATATGTTTATGTTGAAAAGGTTTATTAGGTTCATGAAATATCTTTTACTACTTAAAACACAGATTTGGGGTTTAACACAACAAACATTAAGTAAAGTTAGAAGAAATCATGAGCATGTTATGGATCTGGAAAAAATCTTGTTGAAAACAATTTATTTAGATAATTTAAATAATTATTAATTTCTCTCAATTACTGTATTTTTTGTGGTTTAGAATATTTTTACATTTTTATTAGTTTTCCTGCTAGTTTTTCTTAGTCCTATGAATTATCTCTTTTGGTTTATTTTATTTTATTTTTTTTTTCACAAAATATTTATTAATTTTCAACATGCTTTCTCACATTAAATGATTAATGTGAGGAACTTACACAGTATATTTCATTCCAGATTAATTAGTCATATTTCCTTTATAGCTGCCGATCAATCAGGTGGTGATTATTAAGGACTAATCTCCTCTCTCTCTCTCTCTCTCTCTGTTTTTAGGTGTGTATGCAACAGCAGGTCTCCTTCTATTTTCTGACGTCTTTTTATCTTTTACTTGTTGGTTGTCTTTCGAGTTGCAGTGATTGTTTCTTTCAGAAATAAAATATTTAGAGAGACATCGTAAAAGATTTAAACTGCACAGCATGGACTCCACTGAATTCAAATCAGGAATTGTTTTTAATACTAAAAACATAAGGTAGCTTTTAAAGGAGAGATACGGTCATAAATGTTTGAATGGTTTCTTTCGTCAGATTTTTGTTAACAATAGAGGTGAAAGACAAAGAAAAACAAACATGTAGATGTGTGCTGTTTTCAAGGCAGGTAGCAGATTTTCCCTCAGCTCAGGAAGAATCTGTCACCTTACTTTAACTCTACATTTTTTTTCTAGGTTTTTTTTTGTTCCCCAGCTGGCAGATATGTGTGGAAATGTCTAATCTCTGACCGAAAGGCACGTCAGCTGACACCAAAACAATACATTTCTCTCTAAACTCAGTCAAGACTGAAAATCAAGAAAAAAAGTTTTCATTGTTTTCAAGGGGTAACCTGATAGTGCTTTTAAGTTTCTTCCACAATATTTCTGTGTGGCAATAACCAAGAAATCTGGCATGTTATGATAGTTGTTAAGCAGACAGTGGAATGTTAAGTGGAAGGAAGAAGTGTGGTTGAAACATTTGCAAAGGTTACAGGGATAACCACCAGCTTGAGAAGTTTATAAACCAGAGTAACTAAGAAAATTCACAATCTGGAACTGCAGTTAGCACTTCAAGAGACACAACAACCAAACATAACTAGGTAACAGGCTAGATTTATCAGATTCCTTGTGTTGAATCAGTCTTGGAGAGACGTAATCAAAAGCAGCTGAGCAGCTGTTAGTTGGTCATTTTAATCTAAAGTCTTTTTTTAGATTAAAGTGAATATTAGAAATAAAGGTCTGGAGGAAGATACTGAACCCATGTTCGTTACTACCAAGATAAATGATCTGGGAGTCCTGATTGGTTCTATACCGTGAGAGCTTCACAGCAGCACCAGCAGAGGAAACTCAGCACAACAATGATGAAGGAAAAAAAGAAAAAGGCAAAAAGAGAGAAATTTATGCACTGCAGGTAATTTATGACAGCCTAAAGCCTTAAAAAGACAGACTGCAGCTTCAGCCGCCATAATACAGGCACTGCTCCACACTGCTGTGGTGGAGAAAGCTGTCGGTGTGTTGCAAGGGAGAGGAGGGACGTCTGAGTTTTCCTTCTGGATCTGTTCCCTCAGCAACCTAATTTTGGATGAGAAGCATGGATGGATGGATGGATGGATGGATGGATGGATGGATGGATGGATGGATGGATGGATGGATGGATGGATGGATGGATGGATGGATGGATGGATGGATGGATGGATGGATGGATGGATGGATGGATGGATGGATGGATGGATGGATGGATGGATGGATGGATGGATGGAACCTCTTATCTCCACAGTACTATGTGTCTCTTTGCCTTTTTGTACATTTTTAATCTGAATCAATATTGTCACCAACTGCAGAGAAAGATAATACAGAATGATGCAACTACTTATTTAATTGCCATTAATTTTAATAAGATAATGTGAAGTATAAAACGTGACCTGCTGCAGGAAAGCTGCTCTGTGTTACAGTAACAGATAAGCATAAAAAAAACAGGCCGTGACAAGAGGAGAAGCCGTCCTTGTTTGTGTTAATTAGACCTGCTCCTTCTGGACAGATTTGGTCATTACTGAATAAACTGGTTGCAAATGAGTTTGTACAGTAAATAAGGACAATTAGAAGCTCATCAAACTCAAAGACTGCCACCAACAGTTCTACTTTTCCAGAAGTGGTGAATCTACCCACTGAACTTCTTTGCTTTATTTCAAGCACATACATTTATATATATTTATACATTTATACATTTATATATATTTATACATTTATATATTTAAATATATGTTTGAAAGACTATCCTTTTTAAAAGAGGAGTCTAATTTTGAATGAAACAGCTCTCCACATGTGTCCACCTCAATAATAAAACTCAATCTTCTTTTTAATGTTAATAATTAATAAATAAATCTAAGAGTTTGATTTTCCATTTAAGGACATGAACAGAAAGTCCAGAGATGAGCTGCACTCTGTACATATTTTTTAGATTTATGGGGAAATGAAAACATAAAACTCATATTATCGCACATTCTTTACCTATATTACCCATTTTTTATTTCTGCCTGTAGAGTCATTAAAATTGTATTTTCTCCTTAGACTCTATGCTCTTTTTGTGCAATTTTGCTTTGATTAAATCTGGCACATTGTTGTGGTTTTATTATGTTTTGAGTTCTCACAGGGCAAGAAGGTATAATTACTTTTTTTTTTCACCAAAAAATGTGTTTCATATTTTGAAATTACACAACTGTGTATTTGTCTGCTCCGTTTATTTTTAGCCCCTGCTCCTCTCAGTTTACTCCTGATTGCATTTTGAGTAGATCAGAAACATCAATGTCTGCTTTTTAAACTGTTTGCAGCATATTCCTCACATATAACTCACAATAACATGCTGTCCTTAGTTCGCCTGGAACAGACGGAAGCCCAGATTTCTTCCATGCATCCTTGAATTAAACAGCCGTGTCCTCTCGCTGTCTTCTTGTGGTCTTCCTGCGTCAGTCACATGCTCTTTTATCCTTTGGATGGGCTTTTCTTTCATCTTTTCTCTGGGTTGTTTGATTGTCAGAGTAAAGAAAGCATCCTCTAGCTCCCATCAAATGTACATTCTCTGCAAGTGAAGAGAGAATGCAAAAGTTTTTATTATCATGAAACAAAATTAAATTGATTTTAGGAATAAAATGGCATTTAAAGCATGAACTGTTTTCTCCAGCTGTAGTAAATCACCACTCTATCCCTTAAAATCTGCAGTTGGTTGTGCCTTTCTGCATGGCTTGCAAACCATTTTTTTAAAATGATTTTGTCACAAACATCAAACTAGTCAAGTGAATATGTGGACAAACAAAGCATTTTAATTTTTAAAGAAAACTTAGTTAATTTACAAAAAGGCCCACTTCAAGCTCTAAACGTTTTTGATGCTCAATTTTATAATTGATTTCCAAAATCATAGATGACTTGTACATCTCACGCTGTGCCTGCTTATTATGTATTTTTGGTGACATCTTTTGCATTGCACAGTGGAACAAGACATAATTAATTTTTGTTGATGATACAGAATTGCATCATGCTGATCAAACAGAGGTGCATTTCCAACATTAATTGGGCCACAGCTACTTCCAGATGTTGAAGTTTTGATCATTAAAGCTGGGCTCTGAAAAGAAGTCAAAGAGCTGCAACACTGCATCATTTTCCCAGAAATCTTCTAACACAACTATTTATTTATGTGCTGTTGGCTGTTATGATGGCACACAATCAATTTAAATGGAAATAAATACCAACTGTGTAAGATATATTGCCCACAAGCAATGCTATAAAGAGACTCATTCTGGCAGGAAACTGGTCTTTATTTACCATTTAAGTATACAATTTGTTGTGTTAAGGTATTGCGCAACATAACAAGAATATGCAGTTTAAAAGAGGTGTTTGTGGTGGTTTGGTGGCTTATGTGATGCGACTGAAATCGAGTTCTGCTCAAGGCCTCACCGAGCCTTGGTTCGGCCCTGGACTTTACTACAATAAGTAAGTTTGAAATTTATTTTCCCAAGATACACAACGATTAAACTGATAGTAATAGCATTCCTTCTGGGGATGCATTTACTGATGCAGGATGTTTCAGAAATGTTTGAGCAGTATTTGATGAGTGATAGACATTATTCAGTCAAAATTCAGCTGAATTCATTTTTTCTCTTGTTTAAATTTTCCAGAGTTCATCTTTTGCAGTGAATAAGAGATTTCCTTTGATTCAGAAAACACACGCGCGATTCTTTCTCCATAAAGTTTGAAAATACTTTTAGCACAGCATGAAGAAGATTGCAAGAATAAACAGCAGAAATCTTGCACAGTAACCTTTTCCTGGGAGTCTCGTCAAATTGGAAGCGACTAAATGAGGTCTTCAGCAGATAGTCACAAAGGGCGGCATCGCCCCAAGAGAAAGACATGAATGGAGGCAGCTCTTCAGACGTTTAATTTTATGAACAACGAATCTGACGAGGTTTGAAACGATGCAGTTTTTCCAAAAACACATCAGAATGATTGGATATTCTTCTGCTCGTTACAAAGAAGCCAATGAGAACATATTAACTTTACTATTTACAAAAAGGTTCAGCACAAATGATGCAATCATTCTCCAAAGAGCTCTGCAGCCAAACATGTATGTAAGTCTGGCTCCCCCTGGTGGTCTCTTTGAGTGTAAGCACTGCATTAAAGTGAGTTATAACTTTTTCTTTCAGCTGCATCTCTTTATTGCATCCTCTTGATTCGAACACATTTTATTGCCTTCCTAATATAGTGACAACCTGTTAATGCAATGACGTGCAGTGAAACAGGGCTGACTCAGCAAAGGACCATTGTGACCAATTAAGCAAATGGATTTTACTGACTGGACAGAAGAAGAGTGACAGCAGTAGTCATTATTCAACTTATCTGTTGGAAATGTTTATGAGGCATCTGTGTTTCTTTAATGCCATTAATTACCTCCCGGCATGTAATGAATTACAAAGACACAGAGGTGTAAAGGTTCACTGATCTTTGGTTTAATTGGTATCTGAAACAGTGATACAAGGCACTGAGTTAATTAGCAAAATGAGAAACGTAGAGAAGAAGACGACATAAAAAGCATGATGTGGTCTGAAGAAGCGGGGCTGAATATCGCTGAATGTTTCTATTCGCCTCCACACAGCTCCAGCAGGATTTTACGGTAGTCGCCTGATGTGTCACCCTAAACAGCGAGAATTTAAAAGTTATTGCAAATGATATAAAAATGATTTTTGTGTTACTTTTAGAAAACAAAAAAAGGGAGCTTGTGTGGGAGAAGTGAACAAGATAAAACAGATTAAAAGGTTTGCATTAAATAAAGCTGGAATTGCAATTATCATAATTAGACCAGCTTGAGCCCCTCACCTTGATGAAGGAGTGTAGAGTCTTTCCATACATCTTCTGGAACTGACTCTTAATGTCCAACATGTCAATTTCAGCCCTGGAGACCATTATTCTGATGAGGACGCTGTCTGTGGTGCCCAGACCCTTGAGGAGAAAGACAGAAGCTACATCAAGGTTGTATAAAAATGATAGAAATTTTATCATTTTTGTAACTTGTATTTTTATTTTAATGAACTTATTTTTTTTCCAAGTTTGGTGTCCAGCCCCTCTGAGCCATAATTCTAGGTCAGATAGGATGTAGAGCAAGTTGGGGCAATTTTAAATTTTTTTCAAAGATTATTAACTGGATATAGGTCTAAATTTTGCATTTTTAGCAAAGAAATAAACTTTGATTTAAACCATTCCAGTGGAGCAGTGGCTGCATGTTCAATGTCTTGTCCTGGACTGTTTTTAGGTAAATTAACGTTAAACAACTGAAAGGCAAGCTTTTCAGGTTTCTATTTCTGTATATATAAAAATAGAAAACATATTAATTTTTTTCTACTTTCCATCCAAAGGCCTTATCACGGCCTGTGGATGTAACATGACAAATATGAAATAGTTTAAACAATATGAACAATTTTGAAAAAATACAGTATAATTACCTTCATTGACTTGTACAGCCGTTCAGCAAAAAATGCTGGTTTACTTTTAATGCATTTCACTGCAACCAGAAAAAAGTAAAACAAACATGTCAAACCAAAACATCAGAGGCAAACATCACTTACAATTTTGTGTAAATTAAAGTGACACATGTTTTTAAATCAGTATTGGTTATTGAAAATAAAACAGATCTTATTTCTTTTCTTAAAGCATTTCTGCAGGAGAAATAAAAACCCATTTCAGGTTTAACGTTGACCTTCATCAGCATAAATCAGAGAGGAAAATTCACATTTTGTGGTATCCAAGGTGAGCAACATATGAAGCATATGTGATCTTTATTTTATGAGATTAAAAACACCATCTACACACAAAATTCCAATTTCAGTTCAGATTAAAGTCTTTAAAAAAAACCTTACCCTGCAAGCTAAAAAAAAATAATAAAAAAAATCCAAAAGTGATTTGAATTCATTTAATCTTCAGCTGAGGAAGTGAGAAAACTTGCTCTCATGATCTGACGAACCAAAATGTGAAATGTTTTACGGAAATCGTGCAGCTTTTGGGAAGATTCACTGAGCTGATTAGCATATGTATAAGGGCTCATTAGTGCATGAGTACCTTTCACATCTGTGAAGGCATCTTGAAGTCTGAATGATGTATAAATAGGTGTTTCAGTAAAACCTGTTATCTCTGCAGCAGTCACTTCACAAACTAATTAACCACTAACTCATTTTATATACTGGCTTCTGATGTTCAGAACTGAAATAAACAACCATACAAGATCACGCTTAATCTGCAATTAATTATACATCTTTGTCTTCTTGTAAATGGACAAAAAAAAATCCATATGTTACCTTACTCTTTCTTTTATTCAATCAAATTTGTTGTTATTTGAAATAGAATTAAAGGTTTTACACTTTTCACAGAAGGCTAAGCTATAAAGAATGCACTCATTTTCAATCAAAAACTCTTTGTTAGATTAAATGTACCTTTGGAAAATTACATCTTTTAAACAGGCATTAATCATACTTTTCATTAAGTCCACATTTCTTTCTCATGTAGTATTATTATCGAAAATAATGTGCATTCACTGTTAACTAGTTAATGGAAATAAAGGCATGGAAACGTCAGTCTGTCTGCAACTAATCTGCAGTATATAATGTGTTTCACTTACGTAAGCAAAATCATACTTTAATAGACTAATATAGCAGTTAATATATGCCAGTGTGATGAAACATGTGAGTGAAGAAGCTGACCTATGGCAAGAAAGACGTCCTCCAAGGAGCCAGACATCTCACTCTTGATGCTAGTCTCGATGTCTTTCCCAGAAATCTTCTGATATTCCTGAAACACTGGAGCAGAAAACAATATGAGGAGGATTTATGGAGTGGGATGCTGATCATTTTGAGATGTTTAGACACCGATTTATGGATTAAGAGAAATTCTTATTAATATTTGCTCAAACGTGCCACAAGAGGTCAGTAAAACCTTCACAAGCTTTTTCTAATGCCAGTTTTGTTATATAATAAAAAAAATAACTGCAGTTCTTATTTTGGCAGGAATACCTCTCAGCAGATGGTTTCCATTCCTAACGCACAGCACTGTGAGGAATTTCACCTCATCTGTGCCCCAACGAGCCTCTCCGGCCTCATAGATGTCCTACAAACCCAGAAGTGAAAAAGGAAGTTACATGGGATTCAAATAATAAGTGTCATATTGAGAATTTTATTTACATGAAGGTATTAACCTTCGCATCCTGAACAGCCAGGGCATCGTCCACTTTATCGCTTTCATCTCGTCCAGCCTGCAATCCAAACAAATCCATATAAAATTAGCAAATACACAGATAATAAATGTTTCTGTTTCTGTACAAGCAGTAAAACCTTGGTAAGAAAGATGCTGCTCAATGCTATTTTTGGAAAAAAAAGCTTGCAAATAAAAAATAAGCTATTTTATCATTCAGTTTTGTTTACATAATCAAGTGAAATTCCTTTAAAACAATTTTCAGTTGCTGCTCCGTCATTAAATGAAGCAGTGACTGAAATGACAATGATATTAATGTAAAATATCTTCTTGTTCTTCCTCTATACACTGGGAAAAACAATGCAGAAATCTTTAATCTCCAAGTCTCCATCACAACCATTTATTTTAAGACTTTTTGACACTTCTTTATCAGGGCGGCCAGTAATTATGAGGAGCGCTTCATAAACCACAGATTAAATGAATATTATTGGAGCAAACTGGGAGGTTGATGTTTGCTTACCGTGAGCAAAGAGACCAAAACCCTTTTAAACATCCCAGATGTATCCCCAGACACAGCGTCCTCCAGGGTCTTCCCATATTCTAGTGAAAAAAAGGAACAAATTATGTAAATTATTATCTAGTTTAGCTTTATTTTTAAATCAGCCATTAAAACATGTTATATTTAACTCCATATGGTGAGGTAGACACCAAATACATCAAAGCAAAGGTGAAAACAATGAGCTCCCAGACAGAGAGCAACTCATATTATGAATAATTTACAACTTCCACTGCTTTCTGATAATGGGCCTTTAGAGGCCGCTGTGCAATATCATATGTCATATATAGGCTCAGGAAACGACAGAGATGCAGTAGATTGATGGAAGAAAGTCTGCTCATGAGACGTAACTCTTATATCATTAATAATATAAGAGTTACCTCTCTTATAGACCTCGTTGATGGTTTTAATTTCACTATTGCTTCTTGAAGCCAGAATGTCAATTAGGCAGGCCTCCTCTGTTCCAGCCCCCTGTAAAGCAGAAAATTAGTATTTAGTTACTTAAAACAATGGAAATGAGATTAAAGTATAACTTTAGAGGTATTTTACTACTCCCTGTGAGAAAGTATCAATCTGGTTTGAAGTTCTTTACTTTTCCTGACTCAACTTTTGAGAAGATTCTGGAACATTGAGATGATGCTCAAAAGTGAGCCCAAGGGCTTTTTAATGTTTTTTTTTTTTGGCCTTTTGACAAAGTAAGATAAGTTCAAATCTATAATATTATGTAAAATGTAGTTATTTTACAAATACATGTCTTTAAAAGTCATATATTCTTATCGGTGATTCTGTCATTTCACAAAAAGTTATACGTTATATTAATTTGTTCATTGTAAAGTTAATGTAGGTAATGTAAAAACTTATATTTTCTCTCAGAAAGTCAAATTTGTATAATTTAAATAATGGAATGAAAATATAAGTGTAGAAAATAAACTTTTCCACTTTTTTTGTACTTATGCAGACCAGGAAAAGAATCAAACTACATACTTTCAGGAGGCACTCTGCATTATTCAGTTATTGTTTTTAATATCTTAGACATAACAGGAATGACTAAGAAAACTTACAAAATATCAACCAATGGCTCCTGTAATTTCGTATTTATTATTTATTTGTGTTTTCTCGTCATATTTTGAAGCAAAGTGCTGAGAAGTTGCCTAAAAAGTATGGATACAACATACTGACCATAGAATCGTCACAAAAATGTTAATTAAGTGAGTAAATCTGACCTTCATCGCATTTTTCAGCTCATAGGCATCGTAGACAGGCGCTAACATCAGCAGACCCAGAACAACGCTCTTGAAGTTCCCGCTCAGCTCTGAAGACAGATCATCAGCCAGCTCCTAATTGGATGAACAAATGGAATAATATTTCCATTTTCATTTTCCAGTTGCATCATAAATTCATTAAGATTATGATTTATCACTCATCATCTGCCAACTGCAGACAGTTGGCAGATGATGGAGACCAGACTTCCATCATCTCTGGGCTTCCCACTAGCGGGTGTGGTTTTTGGAAACATTTTGTGAACAGTGTAGCCGTTTAGCTCAGCTGACCACATGTGGGTGTCACCAACATGACTCACTCTTTCTGCTGCGCTCAGTCTTTGCTTTTCCTGCAG